GCTCAGGGGCGCCCCGGCCCCAGAAGGATCGGCACGCGTCCGCCCCAGCGGTGAACGACAAGAGAGCGCGCAACTCCCCGCTCGAGGCGTGAGCTGGTTCCCCAAACTTGGAGACGGGGGGCCGGCCCAGTGGCGGAGCAGCCAGTTTCGTCCGCAGCTACGGGCCGGGCTCTGGCGGCTGATCAGCCGAGCATTCCGAAGGGGTAGTTCAGAGATGCTGATCAGTGCGCTTGGGCGCCAGACTTGCAACCCACCGTGACCACCATTACCACGGCTACCGCTACCAGTACTACCACCACGACCATTACCATTACCACGACGGCCACAAAACCGACCGCGACCACCACCGTTGCGGGACCACGGCTTCGCCCACGATGACCACGACCCCCGACTACGCGACGGCCCAGTCCCGTTTCCCCCCTTGCTGGCTTCCGTTTGCCTCCTGGCAGTTGCCCGTGGCTGGAAGCGGGTTTCCCGACGGAGGGGAAATGGGGCTCCGGTCGTCTTGATCGCGGCTACCCCAAGGAGGCCACAGACAAACCCTGGACAATACGCGCGTCACCCTCAAGTGTGATATGGTCACGGTCGAGTGCATCAATAATCGCATGTGGCGGCATGGGAGACGGAGGCCAGCCTTGGATCCTGGAGGCCACATTTGTCTGCCCATGTTGTGCAAGAGGCTTACGTTTGTACGCCGATCCCAGATGAAATACGCCGTCCCCCTCAAACTGTTTGCGCGCTTGTCTGCTCAGACTCATTTTTCTTGCAGGCGTGGCATTATTTGGGCACCCCATGGAGGAGCCGCCAGGGGTGGTTTCAATGCCCCGTTCGCGCCCTGATGATGAGGATGTCTCAGGCTGTGTCCGTGTGCGTTCATGTTTTTTGGAGAGCCCAGTGGTCACCGCGATGTAGCAGGCGTGGAATTTGGGCACCCCCTCAGAGGAGCCACCAACTCCTGGTCGCGCCCAGATTGGGGGATGCTTCAGGCCGTTAACTTGCTTGGTTGTTCAGATTTTTTCTTTTTGATAGCAACATGCTCGCTGCGATACAGCAGGCGTGACGGGCACACCTAGGAGGAGCCACCAGCCCCCCTTCCGGCCCAGATTGGGGATCTTTCTGGCGGTTTGCCTGCTCGGTTGCTCTGACCTTTCTGTGTTAGAGCCTCATGTTCGTTTCGATTAGCAGGCGTGTTACATGGGTACCCCAAGGAGGAGCCGCCAATGCCGTTCGCGCTCAGATTGCGTGAATTTCTTAGGCGGTTTGCCTGTTTCGGCGTCTCCGTTTCCGGCACGTCCCTATTGAGGGCCCCATGGCCGCCGAGACATTGCGAGCGTGGCATAACGGCACCGCGAGGAGGAAGCGTCAGGGAGGGTGACATTTGTTCGTCCGCGGCCAGATTGTGGGGATGTGTCAGGCGTTTCGCTCGTTTGCCACCTAGTCTCCCTTCCTTTCACGAGCCTCCTCCTCCTCCGTCCTTTTGAACTGTCCTCCCTGCACTTCGATCCTCATCCATGCACTTGTGCGCTTCCTCTGGGTCGTGCCTCGGCGCGTCCCCAACGGGACGCACTCGTACGCTTTCTCT